ACACGTCTAGATGCTAAAAGTTAAAAGCCTAATTAAAGCTCTTGGCTATATTGATTCTTTCTTTGGACCACTCTGCTAGTTTCTAGTAGATTTTCGTTGTTGTCTGCATACATATGTATGTACATACACACATACTCACACATATGATGCCTTAATTGTCACATGGCATCTGTTTGCCCCCTGCATCTCTTTCACAGAAGACACCATTCAGAAAGGTTTGGGTCCTGACTAGTAATTTAGTGACTAGCTATTAATCAGAATGTCCTTTTAACCCACTAGCTGCTCCATCCTGGAAAAGGTGCCATTCTGCTTCTATACAGGTCACATCCTTGGAAACCACAGGGAAATTCTACTGTATCATGCAAGGTCTCTGTGAGTTGAAAGCCTCTTGATGGCAGCAGGTCAACTAACCCAAAGCTTTGACCGTTTGAACCCACCCAGTGATATTGCTGTGGAGGAATCAGTCTTGTCAATCAATCTTATCAATCTTGTTTCTATAAAGATTACAGTAAAAAAATACTCTTTGATGCATAGAATGCATCATGTAGCATAGATTCAGTGGAACTGAGTCCTTTTGGAGTGGGGAATATTTTGGTTTTTTATAAAGGATTACATTAGAACCTACTCTATTCCTTATGGCCTCCTTAAATTGAACTGATAAAGGAAGAGCCCTAGCTCCTTAAGGAAGGTCATGTTCAAAGAGGGGTTAGGAACTTAGTGTATCTAACCAGGGGACACAGTTCAGTCCCTAACAGTCATCCTGCACAGTACTTGAGGCATACACTGCCAATGATTTTTTGAGAGCTAAAGTGGCTTAGAAGACTTGTTTTTGTGTTGGCAGGCATTAGCGTCGAGTCCAGCTTTCGGTACGGATGGACTCCACTTATGTATGCTGCTAGTGTTTCTAACGCTGAGCTGGTGCGGGTCCTCTTGGACAGAGGTGCAAATGCAAGTTTTGAAAAGGGTAAGATGTTTGAGGTAACCTGATTGATTACGTTTACTGTGATTTCCTTGATTCTCCAGCAGCTCTTACGAGAAGTGGGGGGGGGGGAAGAATTGAGGCAGTTAAAACAAAAATCCAGTGGCCTAGTGGGTAAAGAGTTGTGTTGTCAACCCACAGGCAGGTAATTCACATCCACCAGAAGCTCCAAGGCAGTTTGAAAATCTGCTAGGGGGTCCACTAGGAGTCAGTTCTGACTTGGCAGTAAGTGAAGTTCTTCATTGGGTTTTATGGTAGTGGTTTGGGGTTTTTTTTGTTTTTTGTTAAATAACAGATTAGCAGCTGAGATAGTTTAAAAACTTTTCTTTCTCAAGGAAGTGTATTCTGTTTCTACTTTCTGTGCCTTAAATTTGTAAATTGACCTCATGGAAAGGTGGATGTCGGCTAAGACAGCCGCAGGTGTCTCAGAAGACAGGCTTGATGATCTCCTTCCACAGCCCACAGCTGGGTGACCTCAGGTTAAAATCAAGGAAGGGGCAATTAATAGCAGTAACGATTTCTATACTGGGCGATTTTGATTGTTTTAAGAAAAAGGACATTGAAATAAAATTTAAAATTTATTATTCTATGGGAAGTTACTGGGAGTCAGTTTTTGGAATATTAAACTCAGTTACGAGTTATAATACCACTAAAGTTTGCTTCAAAGATAAGTTTGTTAAGCCTACGTTTTTATCAGTTATTTAATAATTTCTATTCAGTAATGTTTCTGAAGAACAAGAATATGTGTGTAAATCCTGATGGATAGGCAATAATGTATCAGATATTATTCTCAATTATCTGTCATATCAATTTCTATCTTAATGGTAGATTATGATAAATTTAGCTTTTTAGTCTATCATCCTAAATTTAGCCCTATAAGGCTGTGCTTAAGAAAAATTGTTTTTAAAAACATAAGATACCCTGCTAAAAATGTATGTCTTAATCTCTTTTTAAGGTAGAGTCATTTATAGTTAAAAAAAACTTGACATTAATTTCTGTTTACCACACATTCACTAAAATCTTTTGTATGTTCCATAATAGCCCTATTAGGTATGAAAGAGAGGTGTTATTTGTCTATTTATGCCTTATTGACTATGGAAAGGCATTCGACTGTGTGGATCATAGCAAGTTATGGCTGACATTGAGAAGAACGGGAATCTGAGAGCACTCAGTTGTGTCCGTGAGGAACTACACCTAGACCAGAAGGCTGTTGTGCCAACAGAGCAAGGGAACACTACATGGTTTAAAATTAGTAAGGGAGGACGTCAGGATGGCGTTCTCCCTGCAGACCTATTCAGTCTGTGTGATGAGCAAATTCAAGAAGCTGAACTCTCTGAAAAGGAAGACTCAATAGCATGCATTATGTAAATGTCACAACCTTGCTTGAAGCACTTGTTGCAGAAGATCAAGGAATGCTGCCTTCAATATGTATTGCATCTCAATGTCAAGAAAACTAAGATTCTTCCCACTAGACCGATAGGCAATATCATGATAGATGGAGGAAAGATTGGAACTGTCAACACCTTCATCTTACTTGGATCCACAGTTAATGCCTTTGGTATCAGCAGTCAGGAGATCAGGAGACGTATTGTACTGGGAAAGTTTGCAGTGAGAGATCTCTCTGAAGTACTGAGACGTAATAATAAAGTCAATTTGAGGACTAAGATACGTTTGGTTCAGACCAGGTCTTTCTGATCCTATGCTATGCATTTGAGAGCTGGACAGTGAATAAGGAGACAGAAGAATTGATGCCTTTGAGCCTATGGTGTTGGAGAAGAGCACCAAAGATTCCGTGGGTGGCCAAGAGAACGAACAGATATGTCTTGGAGAGGGTGCAGCCATAATATTCTTTGGAGGCAAGAATAATGTACCTTCACTTCTCATACTTGAGGCATTTGCTGGGAAGGGCTGTTTGGAGAGGGACATGATTCTTGGGAAGGTGGAGGGTCGATGAAAGGGAGGAATAATCTTGAGGTGGTTTTACATAGTGACTGCTGCAGTGGACTTTAGTGTGTCGGGAGGTGTGAGGATGGCACAGGATAGGGCAGGTTTGAGATCTGTTCATAGGGTTACTCTGGGTCATACTTGACTCGGTACCTAACAGCAACAACAAGTTGAGACTACTTAACTAGAGTCACACTTTTTGAGCATGACAAAAGGAAGAATTTGTCAATTTTGAACCATTAATTTAAACCTTGGTTGTTGTGACCGATTTTGGATTCCTCAGTTCATATTTGAGAAGTTTCTTGATCTGCTGTGATCTCCACTGATGCTGTAAGAGCAAAGGCAAACGTTTTTAGCAAATTCTGCATTCAGAATAAGTAGGTAAAGAATTCAGAAAAATCTACCTGATAGGACAGATGGGTTAATTTCAATAGGGTCACTACCTACTGAACGTACTTGGGCATAATCCAGTAAGTAGAAGGTAAAGAAGTAAAACTAGGGAATGGAGATCTTGTTTTCTGAATAGGAATTTCATGTTAAAATTTTCATCCTCCAAACACTTTGAGTTAAGCCATGTACTCCATAGAGCCATGTTCTTTTCTATTCTCCTGTTTTCTTGAAGAAATGAGAGTAGTAGGAAAATGAGCAAATGAGCCTTGCATTGGAAGTTAAGAAATGTAAATATAGATACTTTGGAAATCAAGGAAAAGAATGCTAAAAGAATTCCTCCTTGATCTGTGAGTGTGGGTGTGAGTGTAGGTGTGGCCATGGTGGTCTTGGTCTTGTTCCATACCATTGAGGCGAGTACAACTCCTAATGACCCCATGAACCGCAGATCTGAATCCTATTCTCTCTTGTGCTGTCCTCGCTGTCTCTGATAACTTGTGAGCCCGCTACTGCAGTCACCATGTTAATCTATCTCGATAAAGGTGGTCTTGTTTCACTGACCGACCATCCTTCCTGCATGATACCCTTTTCTATGGGTAAGCCTATCCTAGCAGTAATGTCCAAAGTATGAGAGACAGAATTTTTCCTTCCTTGCCTCCAAAAACCTATATGGTGTGTATTGTTATGTGCCATCGAGTCAACTGCGACCTATAGCAATCCTATGTACAACAGCCCTAAACCCTGCTCTATCCTGTGCCAGTCTTATTGTCTCTGACACACCTAGCCCCATTACCGCAGTGACTGAATTAATCCATCTCATTGAGGGTCTACCTCTCTTGTGCTGTCGCTCCCCTCTCCCAAGCATGATGTCCTTCTCCAAGTCCTACTCCCTTCTTGCAACATGTCCAGAGTATGTCAGATGAAGCTTCAGAATCCTTTCCTCTAAGCAGCAGCTTGGTTTAACCCTCTCCAGGATGAACCTGTTTATTCTCTTAGCAGTCCATGGTATATTCACTGCTCTTCTCCAACACCACAGCTCAAAGGCATCAATTCTTCTATCATCCCTAGTCATTGTCCAGCTTTCTGATGCATAGCAATTGATTGCAAAGACCATGGCCTGTATCAGGTGCACCTTAGTCTCCAGACTAACATCATTGTTCTTCAGTATTTTGGAAAGGTCTCTGACTGCAGACTTTCCCAGTGCAATACATCTTTTAGTTCTGGTGCTGGTGCCAAGAGTGTTGATTGTGGAGCCAAGCAAACTAAAGCTGTTAACAGTCTCAATCTTTTCATCATCTCGCACGATGCTGCCAGTCAGCCCAGTGGTGAGAATCTTTGTTTTCTTGATAGTGATTTCAATCCATATTGAAGATTGCAGTCCTTGATTTTCTGCAGCTTCAGGTCCTCCTTAGTTTCAGCAACTAGGGTTGTGTCATCTGCATAACACAGATTGTTGGATGAGTCTTCCTCCAATCCTGATGCCACGTTTCTCGTCATAGAGCCCAATTATAAAATTGTCTATGAGTGAGGGACTTTAGGAATAGGCAGTAAACTGTGTGTGCAGTAAATATTTAAAATGTCAAAACTCAACTCATTTGACTCAAGCTGACCCTCTGGTGGGTTTATGAAGCTGTAAATTATGTGGGAGGAGTTGCTGTTGTTTCTCACACAGTGTCTGGGGGATTCAAGTGACCAGCTCGGTGCTGCCTCCGGTCAGCAGACTTTCCTTCTCACTAAGGCATCAGAACTCCCCTCCGTAGAATACCTCTTAAAGTAAAAGCAACTTAGTAGGTATATTTCCTGATGTTTCTCTGTCCCCTTTTCATTCACTATAGATAAACTGACTGTTTTGATAACAGCGTGTTCTGGTCGTGGCTCCCAAGAACAGATCATAAAGTGCGTAGAGCTACTACTTTCAAGAAATGCTGATCCAAATGTTGCTTGTAGGTAAGAATTTTGCTGTTTGCTCTGAAGTGTTGAGGATACTTTATTAGCCAGTTAACGTTTCTCTAGCATGGCACATTTCTTTCTTTATTAAAAAAAAAAAAGGAACCAGATTTATTTACTTGGCCAAATTGCCGATGACTCAAAATAGCTTAGAAGGCTGTGGCCGAGTTTCTGTGATTATCACCGGAAGGGCATATCATGAAGGGTTTTTATCATTTTTAGAGGAATTTGGAGTGAAAGGAAAAAAGACAATCTTGATTTTTAAAGAAAAGGGCATACATTTTGGAGTAAGAGAGAGCAGCTTTAGTCTGCCTGCACCACCAGGGTGCAGCACAGCAGCCCCTCGACAGCGTTTTGAGGCTCATACTTCGCAAGGAAGGATGCCACGTCGGGTGCAAGATTTCACGATGCCCCTTAGGATGCTGTGCAGTTTAAAGCTTTTTGGACTGCATTGATGACAAGTGACAGAAACCACAGATAGGAAAAGGGCAGGCAAGGGCGGGGGATGAAGACACTGTATTATGGATCTTGCTCTTTCATATTTTCCAGTTGATTTTCTTTTATTCTCTCCAGTTTCCCTTCTAAAGAGAACTGGCAGTGTGCAATCATATGTAAATTTATTTTTCAGGTCTAAATCCCACCTTGGAAGTGTGGAAGCAGGAGTGGCATCCACTTCCTAAACCACATGCCTCTGGAAACTCTATCAACTTTGAGAAACGATGATTGTTATAGAAAGGCTTCAAGCCTTTTGTTCATAGGGTCACTATAAATAACAAAAAAACGAATCATACCTTTTGTTTCTCTTGGGTCTTGCTACTGACACCACTTAGTGCAGTGCACATTGTATAGCAGATAACAGAATTTGACCCAACTGTTTGGTGAAATTGCGTTATCTCTGACTTGTGGTAACCCAGTGTCCAGTAGATTGACACACTGCCCGGCCTGCCTCGTGCTCACCGTCTCTGCTGTGCTTGCTTATACCCACTATTGTAGTCATTGTTATAGTCTGTCTCTTTAAGAGTATTCCTCTTTTTCACTGATCTTCTGACAAGAAGAATTGATGACTTTGAGTTGTGGTGCCAGAGAAGAGTATTGATCATACCAGACTACCAAGAGAACAAACAGGTCTGTCCTGGAGAGGGTGAAATCAGGCCACTCCTTGGAGGCAAGGATTTTGAGACTCCTCCTTACATTCTTTGGGCATGTTGTAGCCAGAGGGACCAGTCTTTGCAGAAGGTTATTATATGCTTGGAAGGATCAAGGGACAATGCAGGAGCAGAACACCCTGGATTAGATGAATTGACACAATAACTGGCATAATGAGGATAAATGTGTCAGAGACACAGCTTAGGATAGAGCAGGCTTCAGAGCTATTGTGCATAGGTTCACTATGAGTTATAGTCATCTTGATGGCACATAGCAACAGCTACCATGAAAGAATGATCTTTTTTTTTCTTTCCAAAGATTGGCCCTTCCAATATGCCATAAGTGTGTGAGATAATGTCTCACTGTCCTAACTTCTAAGGACCATTGGCTGCACTACTTCCAAAATAGATTGATTTGTTCTTTTGACAGGCCATCGTATATTCAGTATTCTTCAGCACCAACACCGCAGGCCAAAGCCATTGCCTCTTCTCTGGGCTTGTGTGTTGTCCATCTTTCACATGCATGTGTCATCTTGAAAGCATGATGGCATGGATCAGGCATACCTTTCTCTTTACATCCTTGTTCTTTAGTTCTTTAAATCGACCCTTTGCAGTTATTTTGCTGCATGCAGTATGTCCTTTGATTTCTTGACTGCTGCTTCCATCAGTGTTGATTGTCAATCTAAGTAAAATTAAATCCTTGACAACTTCATTCTTTTCTCCATTTATCATGATACTACCTATTGGCTCAGTTGTGAAGATTTTTGTTTCCTTTATGTTGAGATACAATCCCTACTAAAAGCTGTATTCAGTTTTATCAGTAAGTGGTCGGGTCTTTGCTCTCTGCAGGTAAGCGTGTGGTTATCTTCACATCACAGATTTTTAATGAATCTTCTCTAATGTTGATGCTTCAATCTTGTTCATGTAGTTCAGCTTGTTGAATTATTTGCTCAGTATTCAGATTGATCAGTTATGGTGAGAAGATAAAATCTTGATGCATACCTTTCCTCTTTTTAAACCATGCACTATTTAATTGGTCTATGTCCAGGTTCAACATAGCACAATGAAGTGTCGTGGAATTCCAGTTCTTTGGAATGTTTTCAGAAATGTGTGATTATTAACCACATGGTTGAATGCTTCTCCAACACAGATAAACATCTTCCTGAATCTCTGCCCTTAACCCAGATCCATCTGATGCCAGTAGTGATGGCTCTTGTTTCAGATCCTTTCCTTAATCCAACTTGTGTCTGGTAATACCCTGTTGATGTATGGCTCCAGTCATTTTGAAGTTATTTCAGCTAGATTTTATTTGTGTTAATGTATTAGTACAAATTTGTATTAATGATATTGTTTGATCATTTGCATATTCTTTTAGATCATCTTTCTTTGGATTGGGCATAGATCGAGATATCTTGTAGATAGTTGGCCAGTTAGCTGTCATCCAAACTTTTTAGCCTAGGCAAGTGAGCGCGCCCAGAGCTGCATCTCTTTGTCGCAGCATCTCCATCGCAGTCCCATCGGTTCTGGAGCTTTGTTTTTACCAGTTCCTTTATTTCAGCGGGCTTTATTCTTCAGTGCCGTTGGTTCCTGATCATATACTATCTCCTGAAATAGAGCATTTTGTTACTGTGACAATATATTCCTGTTAGTCTTACTTTGACACTCCCAGAGTCATCCAGGGCTTTGTCTATAAACCTGTGTTGCAACACAAGGATGGCTTTCCCCCCCATCAATTCTTTCAGTTTTAATAAGGCAGATACATTTTTCCCTTTCCTTTTCTGACTACAGGTCTTTGCACATTTCATTTTAACATTTACTTTCTTTTTAGCTTATGTACGGTTCTGTTCTTTGATTTCTTCCATTCACCTTTGTTTCTGTGCACTGTAGGGCAGGTTTCAGAGTCTCTGCTGACATATATTTTGGCCTTTCCTGCTTTCAGTGACACTTTTTTCTTTTTTGACATACGATATCTGATGGCATCTCCCAGCTCATATTGCCTTCACTCATTAGTGTTCATTGCATTGAATCTGTGCTTTATATGTTTTGTAAATTCATCTGGGCTAAGTTATTGTTGTTGTTATGTGTTGTCGAGTTGCTTGCGACTCATAGCGACCCTATGTACAACAGCCCTAAACTCTGCTCTGTCCTGTGCCAGTCATACTGTCTCTGAAACTCCCATCCCAACTACCCCAGTCACTGAGTCAATCCACCTCATAGAGGGCCTTCCCCTCCTGTGCTGTCCCTCCACCCTCCCAAGCATGAAGTCCCTCTCCAAGGACCGGTCCCTCCTTACAGCATGTCCAAAGTATGTTAGATGGAGCCTCAGAATCCTTGCCTCCAAGGAACTGCCTGGTTTAATCCTTTCCAGGATGAATCTGTTTCTTTTCCTAGCAGTCCATGGTACCCTCAATACTCTTCTCTATCACCACAGCTCAAAGGCATCAATTCTCCTTCTATCCTCCCTGGTCATTGTCCAACTCTCTGATGCATAACAGGTGATTGCGAAGACCATGGCATGTATCAGACGCGCCTTAGTCTCCAGAGAGACACCATTGCTCTTCAGTACTTCAGAAAGGTCCCTAACAGCAGACTTTCCCATGGCAATACGTCTTTTAATTTCCTGGCTACTGCTGCCAAGAGTTGATTGTGGAGCCAAGCAAACTAAAGCTGTGAACAATCTCAATCTCTTCGCCATCCATCCTGATGCTGCCAATTGATCGAGTGGTGAGAATCTTTGTTTTCTTGACATTGAGCCTCAATCCATATTGGAGGCTGCAGTCCTTGACCCTCTGCAGCAAGCGCTTCAAGTCCTCCTCAGTTTCAGCAAGCAGGGTTGTGTCATCTGCGTAACGCAGATTGTTGATGAATCTTCCACCAATCCTGACACCACCCTTCTCCTCATAGAGCCCAGCCTCCCGGATAATCTGTTCTGCATACAGGTTGAAAAGGTATGGAGATAGGACACATCCCTGGCGTACACCCTTCCCAATTTTGAACCATGCAGTGTTTCCTTGCTCTGTTCTGATGACTGCCTCTTGGTCCAAGTATGCGTTTCACGTTAGCACGATCAAGTGTTCTGGGATTCCTGTTTGTCTCGGAGTCAGCCACAGTTTGTTACGATCCACACAGTCAAACACCTTTGCATAGTCAATGAAACACAGATCGACATTTCTCTGGTATTCCCTGCTTTCAGCTAAGATCCATCTAACATTAGCTACAGTATCCTTAGTACCATGACTCCTTCTAAACCCAACCTGGACTTCTGCTGATGTGCTGTTTTTGGATAATCTTCAGTAGAATCTTGGTTGCATGTGAAATCAATGATATTGTTCTATAGTTTCCACACTCTGTTGGGTCACCCTTCTTTGGAATGGGAACAAATATAGATCTCTTCCAGTCATGACAAAAATACCTAAGCACATATTCCTTTTAAACAGCTTTCTCCCTCATCTGTTTCAAGGCAGTATACATTATTGAACCCATCTTTCTCAGTCTCCCCCCCAGCCCCAAGGTCAGTCCTGTTTTACAACAGTGGCACCATGCAGTATTTGTCCTTTTGTGACTAAGATACTTCACTCAGCATAATGTCCTTCCTCCAGTGTCACCCATTTTGAATAATATTACTTGAGTTCCTTGTTTTTTTCAATGCAGCATAGTATTACATTGTGTGAAAATACCACATCTTCTCTATCCATTCATTTGTTGATGGGCACTTAGGTTGTTTCTAAGTCCTTGCTAATTGTGAACAAAGCTGTGATTTGAACATCTTTTATAAGGACTGGCCTTTCGTCATATGCCAAGAGTATATGAGATGAAGTGTCACTATCTTTGCCTCTAAAGAGCACCCTCATTGCA